CTGTTTTAAAGTTTGCAACCAGTTTTCCATCTCACCTGGGGTTCCTAACAATGTTTTGAACCATAGGTACGAATAATGTAGGTATTATCTCCATTTTACAGAGAAAGAAGCTGAGGTTTGGAGAGGTTAAGTGATTTGCCCTTGGTCAGGTATCCAGTCATTGTCAGAAGTGAGTTTTAAGCATTCCTGACTCCAATATCAATACTCTATTCAGTACACTACATTTCTATGCTTTGGTATGGGATGATGGAAAAACTCAGCCAATACTGCATTTTAATACAGAGCTCAAAAAGCCTCCATACCCTTGAAGACACACTGATCTCAAGGGGGTACATTTATTTCTGTGACACACAGTGGCTCCTTCCTTAATCCCCACTCTTTATTCTTTATTTTTCTATTGTCATAGGGTTGGCATGAATGTCCCAATTCCTGTGGAATACACTGTGTCTCAGATGAGTTTTAGCTCTGAAAACAGAAAAGTAGTACTAATGTCAGACAGGTCTACTGCGAGGAAATGGTGGAGTAGAGCCATCTAGTGGCCACGGAGTTATTCAGCAAGTTTTGAAAGCGATTGGAGAAAATCAAGAAGGAAACAAAACAAAATTTTATCATTAAAAGCTCAAAAGGGAATCACAGCCTGAAGTGAAATAGAGTCATGGGCAAAGGGCTAGCATTGCCCGGAAGCTGCCAGATAACTGTTGGGGTGCAGCCAATATAATTTAGCCTAGAATGGAGTCACAGAGTGTTTTTAGAGGAGTTATGGACCTGATCTGCTGGTTTTACAAATGAAGAAACTAAGGCTTAATGACCATCCAGAGTTTCATAGCCAAGTAGAGTCAGCACCAGTGTGAAAACTCAGGTCTTTTGGTAAATTGTCAAGTTCTAAGTCACAATAACACATTGAAGTCATTACTGGAAATGAGTCTTCCTTCCAGTAAGCATTAAGTGAAAACTTTGAGACCAAAAGACCATAGAGAAAGGGGCCTCAAGGGTCATTGAGTCCAACCCCATGCATAAATGAAGAAACAGAAACTTAGAGACCATAAATGACTGGTCAAAGGTCCCAAGGTAACACAGCTGGGATCCCATCCTATGTCTTAGTTCCAGACTCAGCCTTCTTTCCATTTCACCATGATAACTATCCTCCAGAGCCAGAGAGTCTTTAAAATAGGAAAAAAAAAACCATTCTAATTCAGTCTAAGTACAAGATAAGCTAGGAGCCAGTTAATATGAACAACAAATCTCATGAAGCAGTTCCATTATTCGAATTAAAATTGCGTTATTTCCATTGGGCTGGAGCCAATGACTATATTTTATCTAATTATACCTTTCAAGAGTGTGAATTGAAATACCTGTGAGTACTTCAGGGCATCAATCATTTGCACTAACCTGGACCTAACTAGATACAAATCTTTGTATTATTATAGTTATTTTTGCCATAAACATGACTATGAAGTTGGTCAGGCTCAGATATGTCACAGCACTTCTGGACAAGGATTTCATATTTAAGCTAGTGATGTCCATTTTGTTTCTAACTTGTGACACTTAAAAGATAAAGTATTTTAATATAGGTTCCTTGTCTATTTCCCATCAATCAAGGATTTAATGGTATGGATCTGGACCTGGGATTATTCAGTGTAGTAAACTCCTGGAAAGAAGACTTACTCCATGAAGGCAGTCAAGCCCCTCAGCTGTATCTTAGAGCATTACAGAATTGTCTAAGATGTGAAGAAATTAAGTGACTTGTCCAGGGTCACACAGCAAACACATGTCAGAAACAAGACTTAAATGTACCATAGTTCATGATTCTAAGGTCAGCACTCTATCTACTAAGTGATGCTGCTTTTCAATTGCTAATAATTATAGTGACATTAACAATGGCTAGCACTTAATAGAGAGTTTTTAGATTCAGCCAAATGCTTTGCCTGTGTTATCTCAGAAGCAACAACTGGCCTTTTGGTGGTGCTTTCTAGTTTGCAAAGTGCTTTTCAATCATTAGCTCTTTTGAACCTTAAAACTGGCAGGAACATGGACCAATGAGAAAGCCACTGCAGCAGGAATTGGAGGACCCTGGGGCTGGAGTGGAAGCCTAGTTATTTACCAGCTGTGTGCCTTGGCTCATGTCAAAATCTCTCTGGGCTTGAGTTTCCTCGTTGGTAAAATACTCAAAAACCAAAGTCGTTGAGAAGAAAGGGCTTAGTTAACCTTAAAGTATCATGGCAATATGTAGCAGCAGTAGCAGCACTCCTCTGCCATTTGAGAAAGCCTTTCCCTGTGTTTCCAACTGCCAGAGCCTCCCCCACTAAATCTACCTTGAATTTCCTTGTTTGTTTCTTTTATGAACCTAATTATTTTCATGTTGTCTCTTCTGTTAGAATATGAGTTCTTTGAGAGCAGGGCTTATTTTTACCTTTCTTTGTAGTCTAAGCACTTGGTACAATTCCTAGTAAATAGTAAGTGCTTAATAAGTGCCTGTTGTTAAATTATCCTCTATATATCTCTATGGTTATATACATACACACACATATATACACACTATGCTATGGAGTGTGTGTATGTATACACACATATATATGTATGAACTTATATAGTAGAGTGCTGACTTGTAGTCAGCAAGACTTGGGTTAGAAACGTGCCTCAGATGCTTAAGAGCTGTGTGCCCCTGGATAGTAACTCAACTTCCCTGGTGCTCGGTATCTTCAACTTTGAAATGGGAGGACTGGACTCAGTGACCTCTGAGTGGTCTCTTCCATTTCTAGATCTGTTCTAGGAAATTCTCATAGACTTTAGACATAGAGAAATTAAGTTGGCAGGGACCTTAGAGATATCAACAAAGGTAATACACTCACTTTGTGGATGAGGAAATGAAAGTCAACAGAGGGGCAAAGGACAGCAGAAGTTTTCAGAGCTAGGAGGGACCTCTGAGGTCATCTCATTTTAAACTCCCATTTTGCAGATGAGAAAAAAAAATAGAAGTCTAGAAGCTACATGACAACCAAGATCACATTTGTAATAAGAAAGGAGGAATTTAGACCCAGTTCTTCCTCAAAATCCAGTACTTTTTCCATAGCATAGCAGCTAATCTCTATTACTATCACAATACTTTTTTGAATATTGGGTTTTCTGGCAAAAAGAAATAATTTTATACATTTCTCATCCTTTCCATGATAATCCTTGAAGATGTAAAGTTTAAAAAAAGTCTTCTCTACCACAAGATGGCGGTGCAGCCCCATAAGTAACATCAATCTCCTGTAGGTAAATTTCTTCAACCTATTATAAATTAACAGATAATTTTGAAAGCTAAACAGCTGTAATTTTGGTGAACAGTTATTGGCTTATAAAATAGAAATGACAAGTTGCACTCAGATCCTTCTACAAAACCCTCAATCACAGCCTTCAATATTTGCACAATGCTCCAGCCAGGATACGTTTTTTTTTCCTCTTTCGTTTTCATCGTTTTGTGGTGTGAAAACAACTTCACAAGAACACGCCACAGATCATTTCATGCATGAGCTATGTCGTAAATTCGATCCAAAATAACTCTTGCTTCAGTTTAGCAAATTACTATGTGATAACATATTCACTTCTAGAATTTCATAGTTTTAGGAGACAGGCTTTATTCTCCTTCCCGACATGACTAGTTGGGGGGGGGTCTATTGTTAGCTGCACTAATAACCTTTAGAACAGATTAAAAGCCAACTTCTGCCTTTGTTTACCAAGGATTCCAGTCAAGATCTCCCTTCTCCAGGAAGCTCTTGGTCTTCTTTTGTCAGCGAGTGGGCAAGTCTCAGTCATTCTGGTGAACTGAGAATGAGTCTACCCCACTCTGTTGTATTGTTCTACCCTACATTAATTTCCAAGTCTATTTTAGGGAGAAATAGGGTTTGGAGTCTCTATAGCACTGGAAGGAATTCTCAGTTTTTCTCATATTGTCCTTTTAATAGTAGTTTTTAACCTGGGGGTCTGTGAACTTAAAAAAAAATCTTGATAACTATTTCAATAGAAGTGGTTTCCTTTGTGAATCGATATATTTTATTTTATGTATTTCCTGAGAAGGGGTCCATAGACTCTATAAAGCTCCCAGAGAGGTCCATGCCAAAAAAAATGGTTGTCATGCCTTAAAAGGATTTCCAGAGTGCATACATAGTGCAGTAGAGGGCTAGCCTTAGAATCTGAATGATATATACTCACATATGATAGAGCCATGAGTAAACTACTTTATCTCAGTGCTTGCTAAAAACTCTAAGACTTATTTGTGTTGGTGGAGGGAGTTCCTGACATTGATGTATAGAGAACAGATCCTGACTAAACCTTAGGGTGATTCCCAGTTGCTAATACAGGGGGTTTATTTTTTGTGTGACCTTGGACAAGTTACTTAACATTAAACTAATATTACATGAAGTAGTAAATGATGGAATAGACAAAGCATTCTACTTCAAGTCATGTCAGGAAGATCTGGGTCCATATCCTTCCTCTGGCCCTAGCTGTGTGACCCTGGGCAAGTTACCTCTAAACCTGTTTGTTCTTCTGTAAAATGGGTAGAACAATACCTGTAGGAGCTCCCTCATAGGGTTGTTGTGACAATTGAATTAATATATGTGAAGTACTTTGCAAATCTAAAAATGGCATAAAAATGATAGTGTTGCCTAGATGCAGTATTACTGATAGGTTTGGTGATAATGGACTGGTCAGTGACATTGGCTGAAGTAATCTGCTATAGGATGTGTCTTGTTAGGCTGAACCTTTCATTCTCCAGCGTCCCTTTATTCCTCTGTTTATGCTATTCTTGGAGGCAATGAAACGGCCTAGGCTCGGAAGAGCCTGATGCAAAGGCCAGTCTGTGTGGGGCTCAGTGGTACACAGCGACAAACCTGGAAATATGCCCAGCCCAATCATTCGACCTCCAGTTGCTACCGAAAGCTGCCTCTGTTGAGAATGATGGGAGCTGACCTGCAAAAAGTCTGCTCACAAATTAAAGGAGAAAGGCAGGAAGAAATTACCTTCTTCGCAGAATGTTCCTGTCCACTCAGCTGGGCAGGTACAGGCTCCGCTCACAGGGTCACAAACAGCTCCATTCTTGCACTGACAGCTGAACCCACACCTCAGACCAAAGGTCCCCGCTGGGCATTCTGCACACAGATAAAAGGATACATGGGAATTACACTATGTCAACTACTTCAGAATAGCACATTGAGAGTAGGGAGAGACCAGAACCTTTATTAAGTAGCCAAAAGGCAAGGACCAGGGTCTTACTTGATCCCCACAAATGCAGAATTAAGTGACCATTAACAGGCAATTGGGAAGATGTTAGCCAAGATACAGATTGTGGGGCATGTGTGCCGAATGGGAGCCCAGAGAGTTCCCAAGGAGGTTGCAATGCTTGCCACAACAGCAATGCAGGCTACAGTTTCCCAGATTACAACTCCCCAGTTCCTCATTTGGGTTGATGGGCTGCACACAGTGTTCTAGAATTTTCTCTTTGCCCCACATCCTCTGAGTGTTTAACCTGCTACAACAGGTGAGCCCCGGTATACTCCCTCACCCTATTCCACGGGGTCTTTCTTTTTTTTTTCTTTTTCTCCTCTCACATCTTTTTTTTTTTTTAATGAAAGAAGGCTATGAACTCTCAGACAAATCTCAAACCTGGGAAACACCCACACAAATCAAGTCTCATCTGTGAGGTTATCTTAACAGCCTGTCTGAAGTATCAGTCTGAGGCTTAGGGAATCTCTCAATCATTCACTATGTCATCTTCCAACCAAGCAAAAATAGAAAGATGTTTCAGCTTTCAGGCCATTGTTCCCTAAGGGGGAAAAGATAACTCTCAACTGTCACTTTTGAAGTATATATATTTGAAGTAATTAGCAAAAGAAAATGCCCATAATAAAGCAACATGAAAGATCCTTTCTCCAGGTGCAAGGTTATAGTTGTAGTTGTTGCTGTTTTGCTTTTGGTTTGTAATTTCATCACTTGTCAAGTGAAATTAACCAACATTGATTAAATAGTAACTATGTGTCAGGCACTGTGGGGGGAGCAGATGTATAGAAAAGCAAGAATGGCACCTGACTGCAAGGAGCTTACAATCTAACTGGGAAGATACCATGCAAACAACTGGGTTTGTTTCCTTATGGAAATTTCTCCTGCCGATGTAGATCAACCAACCGATTAATAACCATTTATTAAGAACCTATTGTGTGCCAGGCATTTTAGGTTTTAGGGATACAAATACAAATACAAATACAAAAAGAAAGAAATAATCCCTACATCTAGTTTGAATCATTAAATAAAGAATTTTTTTAAAAAAAGATCATTAAATTCTTACTATGTGCCAGACATTCTGCTGGTGCGTTAGAGGCAGGACTGGAGCCCACGTATTTCTGACCCCACAGCTGACTTTCTTGCCACTATTTTTATTAGGGTATTTTTATTGCCTATTTTTATTAGGGTATTTCTTTTCATACAATAGTAAATCTTTAGGCATTTCCAACATATTTTAAATACTCAACATATATTAGTATTAAAAGATTTTATATTAAAGTTATCATTAGCTAAGAATTAATTTTCATGAGCCGGTTGGAATTTTTATCAGAATTAAGTTATTTCAGCCAATCCAGCTCTGCTCTCAAATTCCAAAGGAAAATTTTACATGATTCACATGTTGTCTGTATTTCTGAATGCCAAGCCTGAAGCTTGTGACAGCCGCAGATGTTCATGGAACCAATGGTATTTGATAATTTAAAGGAAAACAAAAACTTCCCCAAATATAAGGACAGGCATGGCATAAAGAGCTTGAGGCCGTAAAAAAAAAAAAAAAAAAACAAACGGGCATCTATCAGGAGATAAAAAGTACTACGGACAGAAGATAAATTGTTGCCTGTAGCAACTTATCCATTAATCAACAAGCATTTATTAAGTACTTATTATGCAAGAGGTATTGTGCTGGGGGCTGGGGATACAAACACAGAAATCAAATATTTCTTGCCATCACGATCAAGGATTTCCCATTTTAATGGACAGCTTGACGTATACACCAATAAGTAAATACAAAATACAAAGTACATCCAAAGTAAGTGTTTTGGGTGGTGGCCCTAGCAACTGGGAGGATTAGAAAACACTTCATCTATGAGGTAGCACTTGAGATGAACTTTGAAAGAAACTGGGGGGGTGGAGCCAAGATGGAGGCCTGAAAGCAGTGACTTGCTTGAGCTCTTCTCCAAACCCCTCCAAATACCTATAAAAAATGGATCTAAACAAATTCTAAAACAGCAGAACCCAAGAAAAGACAGAGCGAAACAAATTTCCATCCCAAGACAACCTAGATGGTTGATCAGAAATGTATATTGTGCCAGGCAGGTAGAGGAGCGCAGTTCAGTGTGGGTGCGCAGGCTGCATCGAACCTGTAGCAGGCCTTAGAGGACTGAATCAGGGCGGCTGTGGTGGTTTCCAGACCTCTCAACCCACAAACACCAGGGACAACTGAGAAGGTCAGTGGAAAAAGTCTGTTTCTAAGGTGAGAGAGAAGCGTGGTGGTCTCAGCCCCAGTTCCTGATCATGACCCCAGGGCAACAGCTGCCTCCTGAGCTTCTGGCCCATAGACTGAGGGGGCATCTAGTGTTTAGTCAGAGGGGGATTGCAGGGATCTCTTTGCCAGTGCTGAGGTGGGAATCTCTTGCTTTGCTCGTGCTTGGATCTGGGTCACAGTTCTGAGGGGCGGTCCTGGGGCAAGGAGGAGTGCTGGTGTGGTGGAGCTTGTAGTGCCTGTGGAGAGGAAATTCTCCTCACAGACCAGAGCAAAGACCAGGAAAGGAGTCCTCACCCCTTATCATACCACCTTGGAAGAACTGAAAATTTACAGGTCGCTACAAGTATCTCTGAAAACAGCTGTACAAACCCCTGAAGCTTGGGACAGTGCATTCTCCACATTGGAAGCAGATCTCTACTTTAATAAAGACTTTATAACTTAGTAATTGGCTGGGATCCTGAGCAAACCTTGCAAGAAGTGTCAGACCATAGAATCTTTTTTTGGTAACAAAGAAAATTGAAACATACAACCAGAAGAAGATGACAAAGTCAAGTCTCCTGCATCCAAAGCCTCCAAGAAAAATATGAATCAGTCCAAGGCCTTGGAAGAGCTCAAAAAGGATTTTGAGAAGCAAGTAAGAGAAGTCGAGGAAAAACTGGGAAGAGAAATGAGAGTGAAGCAAGAAAATCACGAAAAACAAGTCAACAGATTGATAAAGGAGACCCCCCCCAAAAAAAAACTGAAGAAAATAACATCTTAAAAAATGGACTAACCCAAATGGTAAAAGAGGTCCATAAAGCCAATGAGGAGAAGAATGCCCTAAAAAGCAAAATTGGCCAAATGGAAAAGGAAGTCCAAAAGATTACTGAAGAAAATACTTCCTTAAAAATTAGAATAGAATTGGAATCTAGTGACTTTATGAGAAATCAAGACACTGTAAAACAAATTCAAAAGAATAAAAAATTAGAGAACAATGTGAAATATCTCATTGGAAAAACAACTGACCTGGAAAATAGATCCAGGAGAGAGAATTTAAAAATTATTGGACCATCTGAAAGCCATGATCAAAAAAAGAGTCTAGACACCAATTTTCAAGAAGTTATCAAGGAAAACTTTCCTGATATTTTAGAACCAGAGGGCAAAATAGAAATTGAAAGAATCCACTGATAACCTACTGAAAGAGATGCTCAAGGAAAAGTCCTAGGAACATTGTAGCCAAATTCCAGAGTTCCCAGGTTAAGGAGAAAATATTAAAAGCAGCCAGAAAGAAACAATTCAAGTATTGTGGAAACACAATCAGGATAACACAATATTTAGCAGCTTCTGCATTATGGGACCACAACACATGGAATATAATATTCTGGAGGGCAAAGGAGATAGGATTGCAACCAAGAATCACCTACCCAGCAAAACTGAGTATAATCCTTCAGGGGAAAACATGGTCATTCAGTGAAATAAAGGACTTTCAAGAATTCTTAATGAAAAGACCAGAACTAAATAGAAAATTTGACTTTCAAATACAAGACTCAAGTAGAATATGAAGAGGTAAACAGGAAAGAGAAATCATAAGAGACTTATTAAGGTTGAACTGTTTACATTCCTTCATGGAAAGATGATATTTATAACTCATGAGACCCTAGTCAGTATTAGGGTAATTGGAGGGAAAAAATTATATGTGTGTATATATCTATATATGTATATAGATATAGAGATAGATAGATAGATAGATAGATAGATAGATAGATAGATAGATAGATAGAGGGCACACAGTGAGTTGAAGATGAAGGGGTGATACCTGGAGAATAAAATTAAGGAGTGAGAAAGGATTATACTGGGAGAAGGAGAAAGAGAGAGGTAGAGTAGGTAAATTGTCTCAAAAATAAACAGAAAAGAAAAGGCTCTTGCAGTGGAGGGAAAACAGGGGAAGGTGAGAGGGAAAGAGTGAATCTTATTCTCATAGGATTTGGCTTAAAGAGGGAATAACATGCACAATCAATTGGTATGGAAATCTGTGTTACCCTACAGGAAAATAAGGGAAGAAGAAGGGGACAAGAGAGCAGGAGAATGATAGAGAGGAGGGCAGATTGGGAAAGGGGGTAATCAGAAGCAAACACTTCTGAGGAGGGACAGGGTCAAAAGAAAATAGAATAAATGGGGGGCAGAATAGGATTAAGGGAAATAGTGTGAGTTTTTCACAACATGACTACTGTGGAAGTATTTTGTATGACTGCACATGTATAACCTATATTGAGTTGCTTGACTTTTCAATGAAGGTGAGTGGGGAGGGAGGAAGGGAGAAAATTTGGAACCCAAAGTTTTAAAAACACATGTTTAAAAAAAAGTTTTCACGTGCAACTGGGAAATGGGGTACAGAAATCTGTCCTGCCCTACAGGAAAATAGAAGGAGAAGGGGTTGGCGGGGGAGGGGGAGAGATAGAAGGGAGGGCAGACTAGGGGAAGGGATATTCAGAGTGCATGCCATCTTGGGATGGGGGGAGGGGCGAGATGGGGTGAAAAGTAGGAACTCAAAATCTTGTGGAAGTAAATGTTGAGAACTAAAAATAAATAAAGTATTAAAAAATGCAAAAAATATAAAATATAAACAAC